CTTGTTTATTTTGGGAAATGGTAATTTATGTAAATTTTTTTGAGAGGTTTTTGCTACAGGGCATGTGTACTTGCCAGAAAGACAGCGAGAGACAGAGAGACAGAAAACGAGAAATCACCCTCCAGGGGTGATGGCCACGCCACAATCTCTTTTCCTCCATTCCCCTCTTGGGATCCTGGGCACGCACGCACATACGCCGGCATAAGTTTAAACCACTGGGTCCGGGACTCAAACCATGGTCGACTACATGGGAGTCTAGTGACATAGCCATCACGTCATCTTCTGGTCTCAATTTATGTAATTTTTTTCCTTATTGCTTGTAACCCTCCCACTTTGAATCATCTTTTGCTTTCATTCCTTTTTCCACTCTGCAAGTGAAGCTGCTGAACTGTTAGTAACTTAATTTTTAATTTGACAATCGATCAGTTTTTCAAATTTTCTGTTTCATCATCTTTTTAAAACTTAACCAGTTTTCACATTTCTGCATGATGTAGTGTCTATGCGTAACTTTCTTCAGAGCTTCTGTTAACCACATGCGTATATGTTAGTAATAGAAATGGATTAAATATGTGTTAATATACTATTCGTGTACCAGAAGTGGTCAGACAGTGACAAATAGATAAGATGTATGGCTTTTTTTCTCCTAATTTGAAATGAACTAATGAGTGTTAAATGAACATCAGAATGGCAGAGTTCCTTAAATGAAAAGAAAATGAGTGGAAAAAAAATATAGTACATATTTGATAATACTTGATCTCAGTAAAAATTTCGGTGCCGACTGAAGTTTCAGTCTCTCTTATTAATGAGTTTTCCATGTGGGAAAATAAAATTGTGGCCTCTGTGTTATACTCGGGAGAAGTTCAAAAAAAGATACTGACATATACTAGAGAGTGGTTTTAAAAAAAATATTCTCTGGGACCAGCAGTTAAAGTAATGGCTGTGTTGCTGAACTCCCATGTAGTCGACCGTGGTTTGAGTCCCAGACCCGGTGGCTTAAACTCACACCGGGCACATGTGTGTGCGTACCCAAGATCCCGAGAGGAGAATGAAAAGGGATTGCGGCATGGCCATTCCCCCGGGGGGCGGGGGGATGATTTCTCACTTTCTATCTTTCTGTCTCTCTCTGTCTTTCTGGTGAGCATATGCTCCCTATAGCAAAAACCTCTCCAAAAAAAAAAAAAGAAAATCTCAATTACTGAAACTTTTCTCCAAATGACCCTGAGGCCCAATATATTCAGACAGTAAACTGTGGGGTGATCTGAGTGTGTATCTAGCATTTGACCTATTCTCAGGAACTCTGGGTTCACAGAGGGCTCTAGATAGCACATTTTATAAAACCTCACTAGATAGGAGACTCTCACTATTTGCATAGGTTTTTAGATATGATTAGATATTGTATTAAGACTTAGCCTGAGAGAGTTGGGAAAAATTATTGATTTAGATTCAGAAAAACATATAAAATTTAATTTATGCCCTTTGCTCTTTCAGGTATTCCTAAATTAACAAATCTCTTGCTTTTTGATGCCTATAAAACCTCAGAGCATGTTGAAAACCTTTCGAAGAGAAAGGTGGGCTTGTTTATCAGATTTAATTTGCATGAATTTGCCCTATGCGCTCATTAAGGGTGAAAAACCCACAGTGCTGCTTTGGACTCTGCCTTTTTCTGTTGTGTGTAGTGTTCCATCATGGACATAAAGCACATTGAGTTCCTTTTCTCTCAAGTCATATTAAATTTTGCCATTTAATGTCCATTTTGATTTCTACTATATTTTTTGTACAGTTTTTCAAGAATGACCCCCGGTTCATATTTTTGAATTACCAGAAAATACAATAATGTTTTTTAGCAGGAAACTACTTATAGCAAAGATTCATTTTACTTTCCTCTGATTGTCTTCAGAATTTGCTGGTGACAGGAGCAGTTGACTGTAGTTTGAGAGGCTGGGACTTAAGAAATGCACGACAACCAGTGTTTGAACTACTTGGTCACACCTATGCTATTAGGAGGGTGAAAGTAAGTTTTTACCTTTTCTTTTTAAACATAGAGTGAAAATAGAAATATTTGTTGTATATATCAGAGTGTTTGTGTTGGGGGTTGAGGTTATTCTTTTTCATTTGTGTTTTTGTTACCCATTTATTGATGAGTATTCAAAGCTAAAATTAGGTTAAACTATTTGAATAATTATTGAATGAATTGGCACAATGTAGACAATCAGTACTTAAGGTGAAACAGATTTTTTTCTTGTAGCCTTTCATTCAGTGGAAAAATCTGCTTTTTCGAAATTGGTATAAAGACATGGTTAACTCTTCCTTTTCCCTAACACAGTATTATATGAATATTTATGTATGTTCGGGGTATAGAAAAATTTCTATTCTATAAACAGTAGAGGGTAAGTTAAGTTTCTTGTGCTAGTCCCCGCAATTGCCTGGTTATAAGATGACTTTGAGTTAGCTTTTGTTTAAGCAGATCTTGCTAAGCTACTGTGGAAAACATCTTATTAAGTGACATCTCCCAATTTCATTCTTTATTTTTTTTTATAGTAAGGATAAAAACATACATAATTGATCTTTTCAATAATATTATTATTATTTCTGGGACCAGCAGTTAGTGTAATGGCTATGTCACTGGACTCCCACGTAGTCGACCGTGGTTCACGTCCCAGACCCGGTGGCTTAAAACTCACGCAGGGTGCGTGTGCGTGCGTGCCCAAGATCCCGAGAGGAGAATGGAGGAGAAGAGATTGCGGCGTGGCCATCCCCCCTGGGGGGTGATTTCTCGCTTTCTGTCTCTCTGTCTCTCTCTGTCTGTCTGGTGAGCGCACACGCCCTATGGCAAAAACCTCTCCAAAAAAAAAAGATAATTATTATTTCTATTTTTGAAAGTCTTTCAGTTAAGTCGATATTTTAAATTTTATTGGCATACTACAACACATGAGACGTAGCTCCGTATTTTATTTTTTTAGTAGTGATCTTAATGTGGACACATTTTAGTAGCTGAAAATGTTCTCTCTGTGTTTCAGAGTGGTTCTGAGAATGAAATAGGGTAATGTAGTGAAAATATTTTGCAAACTGTTAAAGTTCTATTCAAACGTAGATATGTAAGTATGTATGACTGTTAAAGTCCTGGTAGGACAAACACTGAAGAAATGTAATTGCAGAGGGCAGCCTATTAAAATATGTCTGTTACTTATTTAGAAGACATTATTTGTCTTTAAATGTGTGGTTTTTATCCTTGATATAGTTTTTCATTAGCTATAATGTACAAATAAAATAGAAATGATCTTATTTTAAAGATTGTTTTAACATTTAAATGTTTATCAGTTTTTAAAAATTATTTAATTAAATTAATTAATTAATTAATTTTAATTTGACCAGAGACAGACAGACACACACACACACACACACAGAAAGAGACAGAGAGAGAGAGAGGGAGGGAGAGAGAGAGAGAGAGGGAGGGAGGGAGAGAGAGAGAGAGAGGGAAAGTGAGAAAGTAAGCCACCAGGTCTGGGACTCAAACCGTGTCAGCATCTGCCTTGGGACTTGGTCCTGTAAGGAAAAGAGTTAGAGAAAGATGCAGAAGCAGAGATGAGGTGAACACAGATAAGCTGTGCTGCTCAGTTATGCTGAGCTTCTCTATTTATACATTTTACCAGGCATCGTATACTGTTTTGCAAGCTTTCAAGGATGCAGTTAAAGTTCTACAGTTAGAGATAAGGATGTGAGTGTATACATTTTTCGACCTTGTTACTATCATGTATGATCCTGTTATGCATCATAGGTCAAGCCAGATTACTTATGGTGTTCCTCTGCAACTCCAAGGAAGGCTGTCTGAGTATGCATCAAAGAGGATAATGTGTAAGCCATAAATACTATAGAGAACAGGCATCGCATGACCTAGCCAGGGTCAGGATGTTTCCCATGACCCAAGGATGTTTCCACAGAGTCTGTAGCATCTATTTCCACAGAGCACTAGCATTTAAGGCATGCATCAGCCAGCTCAAGTGAGTAATTAATGAGGCATTCCGATAACTGCCTCCTGTTGTTAGGCTGCCTACCCTCACAGAACCGTACTTGGCCATGTGGGAGTGTCCAGCACCACCATGCCACCTCTGGCCCCTGTTTATCAATATTTTGATACTTGTGGTTATGGCAGTTGTAATATGTATCCATAAGTTGGTAACTTATGTGTAATTATACATTTGTACTATTACATAAATAAATCTTTTTATTTTAAGAATTATTTTACTTAACTTTATTTATTTATTTAAATTTGACCAGAGAGGGAGAGAGTGAGAGAGTGAGAGTGAGGGGGGGAGGGAAAGTGAAAAAGCAAGCTGCCAGGTTCAGCACTTGAACCATGGTCAGCCATGTGGAGTCCAGCACCCGTAACCACCACGCCACCTGCCAGTCCCCATAAATCCTTTTTTAAAATAATTTTTGGATAGCCATTCCGAAATTGTATTTAATTTTTCCAGAATAGCAATATTTTAGGAATTCTTTTTTTTGTAAATTTTGCCAGAGGACGCATGTGTTCATTGGAGAGAAATAGGGGGGTGGGAGGAGGGCGAGGAGTTGTCGGTGGTGGTGGAGGTCATGCTGAAATCCCTTTTCTATTTCTCCTTTTGGGATTTTGGGCATGCGTGTGTGGGTACACATGCTTTACATATTTTTCAAGCCTCCAGGTCCACTGTGGGATCCTGCTGCCTTAACCACTATGCCACCAGCTGACATAAAAAGCTTGAGAGGTGACTTTCTTTGTAGACTACTAAAAAAGAATGTGTTTCATGTGAATGGATATTTAAAAGAGCAGGAGAGTTTTGCCTCAAATGAAAGAATATAAGGTTTAGAAAAGCATAATTTTAAGTGACAGCCCTGAGTAAATTTACATTTTTTATAATGTTTGTAGAATGACCATAGAAGTAGTATGTTATAATTATCACTAACCTCAAATTTGCTTTTGTTTTTGTTTTGTAGTTTTCTCCTTTTCATGCCTCCGTGTTGGCCTCTTGCTCCTATGATTTTACTGTAAGGTACAGTGGTTTATATATGTCTCATTGTGAAATATCAAGTAGCATTTGGATCTTTGCAACTTTTTTGAAGATAGGATGTTTATCTTACTAATACGAAAGCAATCTCAGCTGTGCACATTTGTATATTTACCACTAGGGCTAATATTATATTTTTCTGGTTTCATGATCCAGTTACATATATGAGTAAATTTTTTCTTTCCTTTTTGAGAGATTTTTGCTGTAGGGCATGTGTGTTCGCTGGAGAAACAGAGAGAGACAGAGAGACACAATGTGAGAAATCAATCCCCAGGCGTTATGGCCATGCTATAATCCCTTCTTTCCATTCTCCCCTTGGGATTTTGGACTCACACACACATGTGCCCAGCATGAGTTTCAAGCTGCCAGGTCCAGGACTTGAACCATGATCAACCATGTGGGAGTCTAGCACCTTAACCACTACGCCACCTGTTGACCCTGAGTAAATTTTTTCTATTTAAAGATTAGTGAGTGGGCTAGGATGGTGGTGGTAGAGCAATAACCTACTACTCCATGGTGCTAGGTTCATATGGAAGATCTGGGTTTGGTTCCCAGGTCAACTTATATTGTACTTGGCAGGCATGTAGAGGCGTGCCTGTGATTCTGGCTGTCTGAGAAGGCTGTAGTCTGGGGTGGGGGGTGGCATGAGACTGTTGAGGTTGTCTCTCTCTCTCTCTCCTTCTCTGTTATTCTCATGGAAGAAACAAGTAAACTTAAAAGAAAACTATTAGCCTGGCTGCTCTGGTTAAAAGTCTTTTTTATTTTGACACTTGTTCTTGAAGGAGCACTTTTCTGTGCTATAGATTACATAGCCAGTATCTTATAAATTTAGATTTAGAAACAGGGTTTAATTATATTATTCGTAAGGCTAAGATTGTTATAGATGGAAAAGCTAACAGTATGAGTGTATGCATGCCTGTCTGTGTGTGAATGTGTACATACCCATTCATAATCTTACACCACACAGAGCTCATTCTCCCTCTGCAAATTTGTAACTCCTGACTTCCATTATTCTTGATATATTTATGTGTTAAACCCTAGAGTGCGTAGGAAGTTTCAGTATTGCAAGGCCTTGTCTTTGTGAAAAAGAATCTTAGAAGTTAGAGCTCATCATATGTTTAGAGCTTTTGTTTGTTTCTAGGAAGTTCAGGTACTTTTAAAAGTTATTTAGTTTTTTCTTTTTCCCATCAGAATGTGATTATGTTACTTATTTAAAATAATGGTTTGATTCATATCTGTTTATATTCAGTTTTTTAAAATAATTATTTAACTTTATTTATTTATTTTAATTTGACCAGAGAGGGACAGAGTGAAAGAGAAAGAGAGAGAGAGAGAAGAGAGAGAGAGAAAGCAAGAAAGCTAGCCATCATGTCCAGGACTCAAACCGCAGTCGGCCATGCGAGAGTCCAGCACCCTTAACTACCACGCCATTTGCCGACTCCAGTATCTATCTATATTCTAGTTTTTTTTTTTTTTTTTTCCTCATCCTTGTTGATTTTTCTGTTTTTCTGATTAGGCCATGGTTCCAGAAGTCGAGAGGTGCATAAAGGTGTATTAGAGAGGTTTCATTTCCCCTCTTCTATTTCTTCCATCTTCCTATTTCATTCTGTTCCACACTGCAGATAATCAGTCTTCCTAAGAGACACATATATATTTTCTTAGCTCTCCCTTTCTTGCTCAAAAAGTAGGGTACACTGTGTACTCTCTTCAACTTTGATTTTTTTTTTTTTTACGTAAAATATATCGTTAAAATCACACTGTATCAGTTCATAGAAATCTTTCTCATTCTGTATAATACTCCATTATGTGGATGGAGTTTATAGTTTATTCATTCAGCTACTCTCCTATATATGGGCATTTTGGTTGTTTCCAGTATATGTAAATAAAACAGGGTATATGTGCAGGATTAACTTTATGGGAGGATTAATTTTAGATTATGTTCCTAGAAGTGGAATTGCTGAATTAAAAGGTAAACATGTATGTAGTTTTGTTGGGTATTAACTAAATTCCCATACGTAAGGAATGTATCAATTTCCATTCTAAGCAGCAATGTTTGAGAGTGCCTGTTTTTCTACCATTTCAAGATCATTGATTCTTCAGGGTTTTCCAGGTACACAGTCATATCATCTGCAAATAAAAATAGTTTTACATCTTAATTTCCATTTCTGATGCTTGTAATTAATTTTTCTTATAAAATTTCATCAGCAAATACATCTAATAGAATGTTAATTTATAAATAATGTGTGATTCTTGATAATAATGAAAACACCCCCAGTATTTCTCTGTTAAAAGATGAGACTTTAAGACAAAGTATGAGGACCAGCAGTTAGCGTAATGGCTATGTCACTGGACTCCCACATAGTCGACTGCGGTTCACGTCCCGGACCCGGTGGCTTAAAACTCACGCCGGGCGCGTGTGCGAGCGTGCCCAAGATCCCAAGAGGAGAGCGGAGGAGAAGGGATTGCAGCGTGGCCATCCCCCCTGGGGGGTGATTTCTCACTTTCTGTCTCTCTGTCTCTCTCTCTCTGTCTAGCGAGCGCACACACCCTATAGCAAAAAAAAAAAAACCTCTCAGAAAAAAAAAGTATGTATGTTCATTTATCATAAGAAACTATGCATTGGAGCCAGCAGGTGGCATGGTGGTTAAGGTGCTGGACTCTCACATGGACACCCATGATTTGAGTCCCAGCATTAGTGACTTGTTTTCTTACTTTCCCTCTCTCTCTCACTCTCTGTGTTTGGTGAGCGCACGTGCCCTATAGCAGACTTAAAAGAAAATAACAAGAAAAAGTATACATCAATTCCTATTTTCTTGAATTTTCTTTTTAAGTTTATTGACTTATTCTTAGTATTTTGAGAGCTAGAGAGACAGACATCCTCTAAAGGGTCACCACTCTGATCCACCCCCAATCTCAGCTGACCTGGATTATGGGCATATGTGTATATACGTGCCTGGTATACTCAGGGAGGTCCCAGGGCACTAACTTAGGACATTTCTCATGTGAGTCCAGTTGTGTCACCACTGTGTCACCACCCGGCCCCTGCTTTTTGTTATTTTTTTAAAGTCAGGAATGGATTTTAAGTTTGCTGAAATTTTTTTTAAAGCATCCTCAGAAATTATCATAAATTTTTTTCTTCTTAGAGCTATTACTATTATGTATTATATTAATGGATTAAACCAACCTTGCATTCCTGAACTAACTTCCCCATGTTCTTTGGATAGCATTTCTTACTGTGTATTGGATTCTGTTTGCTAATACTTTATTTAGAGCTTTTTACTTATATTCAAAGATGATTATTGATCTATAGTCTCTCTCCCTCTCCCCATTTCTTTCTTTTTTAATGTTTTACTTGCTTCATCAAAAAGAATTAAGAATTGTTTTTTCATTTTCAAAGGCCTGAAAAATTTGCATAGCATTGAGGCTATTTGGTCTTTGAAACTGGTAAAACTACCCTGTGAAACTGCCTGAAGATGATGCTTTCTGTAGAATACTTTATTGGTAACTTAATTTTTTTTTATGGAAGTTGCTCTGTTTAAACTGTCTATCTCTAATGAACTAGAGTTATCTAGTGATGTGTTTATTTTATATTCTATATTTTTCATCAGCAGACAGGATTTTTATTTGTTATTCACAACTACTGTTCTCTGCCTTGTTAACTGCTGCCTTTATCTTATTACTTCTTACTACTTTCTTTTGGTCTGCCTTGTTTTTTTTTTTTTTTCAGTTTTTTAGCTGGAAATTAATTTTTATTCTTTTATTTTTTATTTTCTTAACAAAATATTTAAGGCTCTGAATTTTCTTCTGATTATCATTTCATCTATAGCCCATAGATTCTAATATATAATGTTTTCATTATCAGTTTTTTCTTCCAAGAGTTGTAACAGGAACTTATTTAATTTCCAAATGAAAATGCCTTTTAATTTTTAAAAAATTATCAATAATTTCTAGTTTTATTGAATTGTTATCAGGGAATACTGTCATATTCATTCTACTTTATGGAACCTCCTGATATTTAGGGTGAGAAGAGCCTAATAAATGGTACACTTTCATGAATGTTTCATATACAATTGAGAAGGTTTATTCTCTGTAAATTTCAATATATAATCATAAGCTATACTAATTGATTATATTGTTTAGATCTTCTGTACCTTTTCTTAGGTTTTGGGCCAATTAATCTGTGAACGGTATGTTTAAAGCATTAGCAGGCTTCTGTCTGTACCTCTGCATCTCTTGTAGTTTTGATTTTATAAAGGTCGATGTTGTGTTTTTTGGTGCATGTATATTTCTGGTATGCATGTACGTTTGTCTTCCTCATGGCTAATGCTTTTTGTATCAGATATGCTTTGTTTTGTATCTGTACCATTGCCCCTGATTTCTAACTGTCTCCATATAGTTTTGATTTTTTATTCATGACAGAGCACATATGCACACATGTGAAGGTGAGAGGGAGTACCTGCCACAAGGTCTGGGCATGTCGTGGTCCCCCTTCTCCAGCCTTTGGATCCTAGGCTCTTGCACGTGTACCTGGCATGTCTCAGCTTAGCAGGCAGGACATTGATCATCGTGGTTTTTAGATCAGTGTTACACCCGCTTCTAGCTCCTCTCTCAGTTCCATCCAGTGTTTTCTGTGTTGTACTTGTCCGCAAAGCTTTGAAGCTAGAACATGAGAAGTAGCTCAATGGGATTCTGTTTTTGTTTTTCTTCTTACATGTAATTTGAAGCTTCTATGTGTTGAAGACCTCTGAGTTTTGTGTCATTTTATTTGTTCTCCTTGTTCTGTATTGGTCGTTGTGAGGCTACACTAGCAATATTGGATTTACTTGGCCTCATTACCTCAGCCACTGAGATCTCTTTCCTCTTTGCTTCTGAGTCAGTATATATAGCACAATCTATGAACTTCATTTATTTAAAATGTTCTTCAAATAGAACCAATTATAACAATTCCCTGAGAGAAATTATGTATTTCTTTTCTAACTTTGTTT